AAAAAAAAAAAAAAAAAAACAGTTTGCCGTGTGGATGTCGAGATTCAACAGAGTGCAAACATGCAGGACACCATGTTGCAGGTGATCAAGGAAAGCAAAGCCAAAAAAAAAAAAAAGGAAAGCAAAACAAAGCAAAGCAAAGAGGCACACCTCGTCACATCGGCAACACGACAAAAGAATATAATCACGACAAAAGAATACAATCACGACAAAAGAACATAATCCAACGCTTCCGGGAACAGGAATTGATCATTGCAAGAGATGGAGAAGATACAACCGACACGCAAGCTGGCGAAAGACCCTACGTACGTTTCAGCCGGTCCCCGGTTCGGCATAATCACCGCTCGAAACGCCTGCCAGTGGCTGAATGGCTCACAGCCGGGGCCCCTTCGTTGGGATAAGCACACCATAGGGAGCATATTGCTGAGCTGGGGAATGATGTTCACGTTGCAGGAACATGTCGCGATGCCCAAACGATTGGCAGTTGGGTGATTACGGGGTTGAGGTATGACTATGAGAAATAGAAGTTTCCACACTTCGGATACACAGACATTCCTCTTGCATCACCGCAAATTCGTGCGGATTGGGCAGACGGCAGAAAAAAGCAATCGTTCACGACACACAACGGGAAGAACAGCATTCCACCGGTTGAGCTGGCTACTTTCACCGCTTCACGCCTAATTTTCCACCGGCATGCCCTTCACAAGGGATATATATGATGTGATATCTATCATATTAAAGTGCCAGCCATGAAACGCAGGTCACTCGCACTCCTGAAACCTGTCCGTTGCATTAATTAACAAAAAATTTGAAAAAAACAATACCACACATATGCCCCCCCCCCCTCTTTTTTTTTTAAACATTCCCCTTGTTAGCCTTGGAGAGGGGATAGCAGAGATAAATGAAGCCCTGCGTACAGTGCTATCTAACATCACTATGTAATAGAGTGAGTAACACGTTTTAAACCACGAGTACTTGGCCCAGCTATCGGCCGCGGAAAAAGTAGAGTAGAAACGTTTGTACCCAGATGAATGTGAGCGCTCCTGTAGTGGTCCGTACATTTCCTAAAATCATGGCGCGTTAACGGGCACGACTCTAGGAAGTACTGGTGGTTTAATGCAGGTGATGTTCCCCACCAATAGATGGAGCCTCTCACCAGGTGCTAGTCGTGTCTGCTCTTATCAGCACCACTAGCACTGGTGGAGAAGTGTTTCAAAAAAAAAAAAAAAATAACACATGGAAGTAGCTGAGAGAAGCGTAACTAACTTCACTACGGAACGGTAAGGAGGGTTAACTAAGGTAAGTGTAGCATGGGCAGTCCACGGAGATGTGGTTGTGCGGGCACTGAGCGGTTGATATTTGATATGGAACCCCACGGAGATGTGGGAGTATAGGAAGGAAGGGGAAGAATAGGAAGGGGAAGAATTCCTAAGGGGACAGGAGTTGGGCTGGAGAAGCAGATGATAGCTCCAGAGTCCAGACAATAATTATACACTCACCTCCTCGCAAACTGTCAGCGGCATGTGAAGTTGTGAACCAGCAAGACAAAGTTTAGGGAGGGAGATGGGATGAGGGAGGGGGGGGGGGTATGATGCAACATAAGGTATTGAAAACAAGGGGGATGCCCGCCACGACGCGGTGGAGAGCATGAGGAGGAAAACAAAAAACACGACAGTTTGGCCCTTCCCACGGTGAGGCAGCACCAAGTGGGCTAAGGAGTATACAGGGTTCCCCTGCAAGCATAGCTACCGCTCACAATTAAAGGGATGCATGTTAGTCATAGAGTGAGTACGCACTCCGATCCCTTTGGGCCTCCCGAGAATGAACCTTCCACTAGAACATGAAAAGATACACGAAACCCGGTTTTCGAGAGTTGGAGCCGTCGCCACACAGCCACTTGAGAGTTGTGGCCCGAAAACTCTCTCAAGAGTTGTCAGACCTTGTTTCGAGAGTCAACTCTCGAAACTCCTAAACGCCCAGCCTGCAACTCGTGCGTTTTCAAGCGTCCTCGGGGGAACCCTTGAGGGACTCTCGATTTTCGAGAGCTGTCTCGCCGTTATCCTGACTCCATTCGGAAAAGACAAAGCTGTACGACTGTCGTTTTTCATCTTTTGTCCAACACCATCGCCCTTTCGAGAGTGCTGTGTGGCGAAGGCACCTCAACTCTCGAAAACCCGACTCTTGAAAAAGCCTGACAACCCTCAAAAAATTTTCGCGTTTCGAGAGTGGTGTGGCGAGGCCCTGAATCGGCATAGTACGAGGGCCTAGTCGCACTACTCCTTAAATTTGGATGGCGAGTAGTGCAACTACCGTATTCCCCCGAACACAACACACCCTCATTTTGGCAGTATCTGGCCGGAAATATAGCTTGTATCCATTCATTTCTAGGGTGTGTTATGTTCGGGGGAAGACGGTAGGCCCTGAGCCTCGCTGCACTACTCACTACGTGCACAAATGCCACAAACGACAAAAACTGTTCCCAAAAGACAAAGAAATGGGAAAAGACAAACTGTCCCGGATACTCATTACGTGCACAAACGACAAAAACTGTTCCCAAAAGAAAAAGAAATGGGAAAAGACGAACTGTCCCGGATACTCACTACGTGCACAAACGACAAAAACTGTTCCCAATAAGAAAAAGAAATGGGAAACGACAAACTGTCCCGGATGCATCTCACTGCTTTCATGAGAAGATGCATTCGTGCTTTTTTCATTTTGTGGTATGACAAAGCCCTTGGTTAGTGCTATGGCCTCGTGGCAGCAGGCCACAGAACATCAACACAAAACGACAAGAAAAGAAAAACGAAACCACAAAAAGACAAAAAAAAAACTTTAAAAAAACTACAAAACAACAAAAAAAAAAGCCAAAACTACACCCACACACACTGGCTGTGGGCCTCGCTTTCTCGACAGTGGTGGTGTGACGAAGCACTGAATCCTCCCCTAATCCAAAAAAAAAAAAAAAAAAAAAAAAGAATCCTCCCCTAGAACATGGAAATATACTTTTGTAATTACCCTTCAAAACACAGACTGAGAACACAGCTGATTTCTGAGTTTTGCCCCTGGAATGAATGCCTTGCTGAGATTCCCGCGTTCGGCTGAGTTCTCTCAGTATGTGGGTGTGCGTGCTTGCTGGTCTGTGTGCCTGTCTGAGTGCTCGTCGGTCTGAGTGTGTGTGACCCGCAAGGACACTCGTTTGTTTGGCCGCAGGGCAACCAGTGCCCGTGACTTAGAGGGTTGCCGCGGGGAAAAGACTTCAAGTAGCATGGGTAGACAAAGGCGCAGCAGGGAAAACGCTCAAGTAGCAGGTAGTCGTGCAAACGCTGCACAGGGGGCGCACTTCGTTTCTGGTGAACACAGGGCGACCGAACCGTAAGATTCATCACCACGCCAACTGGCCTAGCTCAGTTGGTACACACATGAACTGTTGAAATACAGACCTGATTTCGAATTCCCATAGAAGTGAGAATAGCCCGAATTTACCTGGGGCCTGTCAGTTCAAAAGTGCCATCTCAAGGCGGTCGCCCTCGTCAAGGCGGTCATCCCTTCAGGGAAAAGGGAGAAAAAAGAACAACTCACCACCACATTGTTGACAGCAGACTTGGTATGTGTCGTTCCTGGTTGCGAGTATGGCAAGCAAGTGATGACATCGTTCCCTGAGCTTGCAAGCGTGGACCATGGAAAAGATCCCTGACTCGCGTCAGGGGTGTGCGACGGAGACAGACGAAATGGGGAATGTCTGTACCGAAGAGGCGCCTCTGACAGCCAATATGACAATGCATGTGCTGATGACGACGACTGAAATGAGGAGGGGAAGGAGGAGGAGGCCGACAGCAGGGATGGAGTAACAGAAGATGCAGGTGAGGGGGACGGACAGTGGTGGCAGGGAGTCAGCCGGGGGAGAATCGGTGGGGGAAGGGGCGGCAGGCGATCAGCCCTCTGCTCAGCTACTCGGGTCTCTTTCTTGCACGTCACCCGCTACAGGATTGAGCTGCAGTTGTCATTCAGTTCGTGGGGGCGCTCATTCAGCACCCATAATAACGGTATAGTAGGATGCTGGCAATCTTGGCCCCCCTGCGACTTCCACGAGATTCATGTTGTGTGCTCGGCAGGCTGGGTTTCTCCTGGGACTGCAGCATCCACATTAGCACCCCCCGACCCCCCTCCAGCAGTGAATGGGGAGGATGGGCGCACCGAGTGCGGCTGTATGGAGAACTGATGCTGCCCGTGCTCAGAATGGAAACCCAGCGGTGGATGGGCGAGCAACACACTGGGAGGGTGACCCCTACAGTTTTCCCCCGAATACGACGTATGGTCATTATAGCTGAATTTGGTGTCCGCTATAATGACCGTACGTTGTATTCGGGGGAAGACTGTAGTGAGCATGCATGGCGTCAAGGAAGCCACTGCGGCTTTGAGGTTGGCAGCATTGTTACAGACATGCTCGAACCTTATGTCACAAACATCATCTAACAACTGCACACACTCGCTTACCTCTGATTCATCGTCATGGTGCTGCAGGCATTAATCGTCATCATCAACAACGTGAAAGCGTCCAATCTCAAAGGAGGGACAAAAAGCTTCAACAAATAGATTCCATCCAGGCATCATCAATCAACAAGGCATGTCAGCGTTGCCTGTCTCCATTTGACAGATAGTTAGAACACGGGAAAGCGAGCAGCGACGAACATGCAACAGGTGACATATATAGTGTCCCTTCCCTGCAGTGCATGGACTTGGAATTTTAGAGCGCATGCAAGAACGGTGTGAGAAGTGAGCCAACGCAAAGACTACATTCCAAGATGGTGAGGAGAGGCATCGAAGTCGATCAAACCCATCCACGGACAAAAAAAATATACCCCCGAACTTACACACCCGATAGCATCTCTTGCCATTGGAAATTGGGATCTGTGATGCACCTGATAGCATCCTTTCGCCTTCGCTGCTGCGGTTCAGACGCTCGAACAACAAAGTGTGGTATTTTCAATGTCAAAATAGATAGGAAAAAACACATAATCTCATCATCGCCGTCGCCATCATGATCACATCATCACGAACAAGGATGCACAACCACTGCAAAGCAAATGCGTCGGGACGTTCTCTCTGTGTGAGGAGGCTTTGAAACTACAGCATAGAAAGGCCTCGACACCAAAAAGGCAGTGGAAAAGACGGGAAATGAAAACTCGTTTCCTCTATAAACGCAAGAAAGCAAGAACCTATTTTTCGCTCGGTTGAATCACATTTCAATGATTCAACCGAAAGGTTGGGAAACCTTTCCAGCCAGAGGAAACTCTCTTTACTGGACAAAAGAGCTAGAACCTCTCATGCCCGGTAGAGAAAGAAACTACCGTACGAGATCAGAATCCTACCATCATTCTACACAATTGTACAGAGACATTTACCGTCATCACGCTCCCTACGCTCGCCCCCTTCTTCCACGCTCCCCCTCCCCCTCCCCCTCCCCCACCACACACACACACTCCCCAGCCCCTCTCCTTCCCTCCTCTCCTTCGTTACTCACCCCCAATCTCTTTGTATGCTGTGGTGGCATCCAGCATATTGGGAAGGCCCTTTGTCTGCCAGCAGGAAGGCGAGCAGACAAGAGTTCATGTGCACATCGAGGCTCCATCATGTGCCGCTCCATACCGACCGAGAAACTCCGCAATCCGATCGCTCACCGCCTACCTGACCGCTCAATCCGTAGCATTAACTGACGATCATTCATTGCTTGCTCCTCACTTGTGTACATCGGTACTACATCCTTGGCTTGACTTCCTCAGTCGCCTTTGCCCTTGACTGCCGATGCTGGCGGGTACAACTGAAATTCCAGCAGAGCAACAAGGGTACAAACGCAAATGTGAGACCGAAAATATAGACAGTGTCAGTGGGCCCAGTCAGTACCGTCTGCTCCTCCCACAAGCATCCCATCTTATCCCGCCATTCATAAGCCAACAAGAGGAAGAATGCCTTGTAGACACGGAACTCCCTTTTTCCGCCACCATAAAAGCTTCCACAGAAACAAGTTGAAGTCAACAGAAAATATCAATGGCAAAAGCACAGCTAGCAAGAGTGCATGCATAAGCCAACAAAAAAAATATTGGCATGCAGACACTGAACAACCTTTCACCGCCATAAATTTAAAGCATTTACAGAAACAACCCAACACACACATACCAACAAAAAAAAAAAAAAAAAAAAAAAAAA